CAGAGTTCAAGGGACAACTGGTTGAGGCCGGTCACGCACGGCCTTTTATGAAACGTTTTAAGAGGATTAGCTCCGTTCTTAAAGGCCCTTAGTGGGCACCCTTACCCAAGGAGACGGAAATCCGTGAGGTAGGGGAGGTGTGATATTTTTAGGGTTGACCTTTTCTAACCCTTGCATCCTTCCGTGTGAGAAAGCAGCATCGCTGCAGATGCTGGTTGTCCGAGGGAAACACCTTACTGCTGTCACACCCCTCTGCAGTCGGCAGTACGACTTCGCCCTCAGACCTTGGGTAGCTGCTTTTAGTCTGATCGTTCTCCAATCGACCAGCCTGGCATGGTAGGACCTGCAGGAACATATGTTCCAGCCAGTATAGCTCGGTTGGGTCATCACGATAGGCAAGCCCGACCACCACGTCAAGGTAGCAGCTACGTTCGGGATATTTTCTGTACAGATTGTGTTCAATGAGTTTCAGTTGTTTGAAGCACGATCAGGTTGTGTTGTTTAATTTCTGCCGCTATTTGAATGACTGTTCGGGTCTTTCGCACTGTCTAGACGTTTCATGTACCTATATGTTGTTGTCATCGTCAAATTTTTGTTTGGCATCTGTTCATCTGTTTGGTGGTTTTGTGTTTGATTTCTAATCATTGTGGGTGGTTTAGTCAATCATGAGGTTTTATCTCATTGCAATCATCTATGGATTAGCATTCTATCTGTAGATTTTAACAAATGTGAATATCGTTTAGATAGTTCACAGAAAATCTCCTCTTCAACATTTCGCTTGTTACTCAGTGAATTCTTGAGAATCGGATAATCATTTGTGAATCATAACTGTTCATCTCGTCTTGAAATATTAATCAAGTTTAAGTACCATAGTTCCTTGTTATTTTGTGCTAGATTCCTGTGGTCGTAGATCTCTTTATGGATTTGCATTTCACTTATCGTAAATAATATGATATGAAGCCAGTATAAAATCAGGGGCTTTTTTTGATGAATCGTGTCCGATCAACTCTAAAACCACTATGTTAAAGTTTGTGGGATCCGATCGAGGTATATTTTTTACCTGACATTTGGTGAAGAAATAGATGTAAAATTACTTCAGGCAAAACAACGGAAAAACAGTGTTTTCAATGATACACAATTTTCAATATATATGGATTCGTCTAAACAAATAAACCCGATTTCAGACTAGATTATACCGGTTTCCACACAATGACCATGGCTTAGTAGTTTGAGTACTCAAACTTTAGCTATTGAACCATGCATTGGAATCTTGTACCCGTTTTGTTAGGCATCTGGGTATGGTCACTAACCCGTAAATAGTTAGTCAGTCAGTCATTTACAAGATAGAAACTTCGTACGTACGTACATCAGTTCAAGTTTCCATTTCATTAGCACAAATAAACAATAGTAGAGGTAGTAGAAGTATTAGCAGTCATCGAACAGATTAGGATTCGAAGATATTATTCAAGAAGTATAATCTAATGAAATAAACTTAGAAAGAAAAAGATAAAGGTAATGAGGAATTCAGATTAAAATTTGAGAGAACACAAAAAGTGGATGCACCTGCGCTATTGCAAACTGTTTTGAGCCATGTCATTCGAGGTCTCTAACCACCGGTTACTATCGTTTCGTTCACCCCAACCTAGTAGTCGACATCTACCAACATAACTCAGTCCACTTGTCAGTGACTCCATCGATTTGTGTCATATTTTGGTTTGTCCGCCCCTAGCTTTCCTCCAACCTACTCCTACACCACAAAACATCGCTCCTCCAGGCAGTCTGCGGTTGGGCATACGTAACATAGTTAATACTTCTACTGTAGTGAATGAGAACACAGGTGGGGGCAACCGAATTGTATTAAACGAAAATTACAGAGTTACTCAGTAAAATCGGAAAACCATATCGTAAATCGTTCATTTGCAAAAGATCAGTTCATCCTATGAAACTGGACTGTTCCTGTTGCTAAACATCAATCCATTGTCACTATTCATGCGTTTCATACAAATTCCATTTTGTTCTAACTCTTCCTTTCTTGATCTTCCCCCCCATATTATGCTACCAGACGTTACGTTGACACTCACATTATATACTACTTATAAGTAGTTCGCACCACAGCACCACACTTGTCCCCCCTTTTAATAAGCTGTCGTCGTAGTCCTTCAAAACAGAGCCCCTGGTCAGTTAATATCACCTTCCGTATTCCGTGACACGCTACAATATGCCGGATTACCACTTCGGTCATCGTTCTTGATCACTGGTCTGGAATGGATACGGCATCTATCCAACGTGTAGCGTTCACAAGTTCCCGATGCTGGAACACGGCGGCAGGCACACACTCGATAAATTGCGACGCCAAAGACTGTGCCCCGTCCACTCCTCACGGCGCAATCCGGTGAGCTCCACAGCAAGCACCAACAGGTCACCATCGGCCGACAGCCGCGCCAACCGGAACCTCTGCGGCGCCTCCTCCCTGTCCGCTGGGCTGTCGAACTCCATTATCAGCCGCCCGGTGACCATCTCCCACGCCGTCTCCTCGGTGACACCGTCCAGGCTGTCGTGTACCGCCTCCGCCTCACCTCCCCGCAGCGTCCCCAGCACCGTCAACTCCGCCCCAGGCCCCCACCAGCTGCACCGTGGCCCCAAACTCCTCCAGGAAGCTCCGCCAATCTCCGTCCTGCAACTCCTTCGGCCACGGGAGCCCCTTCCTCCGATCCTGGCAGCGACACCACTACTACCTCTGCCAATATGGGTTTGAACTGACTGATGAGTTTTCAATGCTTCATCTATTGATCTGCCCTTCTTACCTGTTACCCGTTTCCTAATAACACCATTGCTTACTTGGTTGTCCCATGATACTCGAGCAGTGCTTCAGAGACACCTATGATTGAAAACTAGTAACCTACGAATATCTTCTATTCTTGCTGGTCATGAACCTGTAAACAAAAAGTAACTCAAAGGCGAGTATATAGACTTTTACTTGGAAACATTAATTAAGATTATTCTATATCTTAGCCCTTGTTGTCTATATGCCTCTACATAACACATTTCACCAGCCAATATCTCCATGAACTTATCTTAAATGGTAATCTAAACTTCTAGCTTTTGTCAAACTTACATGACATGTTTTTGTGCGCTGAGCTATTAGTTTTCAACTACAATTCTAATACACTTGTCGTGACTCTTGTAATCTCCTCCTCCTCCTTCCGTAATATCGAATAAGATGTCCGGTTATTGTTTATACCTTTTACTTATCAAGACCCATTGGAATTAGAAATACATTTATGATAGTTAGTTGTATATGTCAATGAAAATAACGACTATGATTTAGGAATTGATTAATTATCAATATATACACAGGTTATAATGGCATTGCTTACTCGGTTGTCCCACGGTATACGAGCAATGCTTTGAAGACACCTATGATCGAAAACCAATAACCTACGAATATCTTGTACTCTCACTGGCCATGTTTCACAGCCATATAGGAGAACGGAGCGAACTGCTGCACAGTACACTCGTCCTTTGATTAGAGAACGGATATCACGCCCACGCCATAAATGACGCAGGTTGGCAAAAGCCAATCGAGCCTTCTGTATCCGAGCTGAGATTTCGTCAGTCACCAGGCCATCGGCACTGATGAGACTCCCAAGATAAGTGAAGCGGTCTACACGTTCGACTACTTCACTCCCTATCACTAGTTCTGGTGCCGATGCAAACCAGTCTTGAAGCAACATTTTACATTTCGAGGGGGAAAACCGCATCCCGAACATGCTTGCATTGTTGCTTAGGGTAGTCAGAAGACTGCATTTTGTCAGCGTCTTCACCAAGTAGTACGATATCATCGGCATATTCTAAGTCATTAAGCGAGCCACCTGATAGAAGGTCTACTCCAGAAAATTCAGACGAGGATAAGGTTATTTCTAGGAGCATGTCTATGATAAAATTAAACAAGAATGGAGAAAGTGGACATCCTTGACGGACACCACTTGAAGTAAAGAATTCCGGTGACAGTTCGCCATAAGCTCTCACTCGACTAGTGGTGTTGGAGTAGAGAGCTTGTATGAGGTTATCGTACTTCTTTGGTACACCTTTCAATGACAGACACTGCCACAGAACCTCACGATCCACTGAGTCAAACGCCGCTTTTAGGTCCAGGAAAACAACTATTGTAGGACGCCTAAATGTGTGTCTGTGTTCTAGGACCTGTCGTAGTGTGAAAATGTGGTCTATACAACCACGTCCAGGTCGGAAACCAGATTGGTTTTCTCGAGTTTGCTCTTCACGAGCTTTCGTTAAGCGTCGAAGTATTATTGAGGCCAATATTTTAGATACTATAACGTAAATAATAAACCTAATTTGCATTGAATTAATTAATGTAACACAAGTTCATTGTAAATTAATATTAGTTTTCTTGCTAAGATGTATTTGAAGACTCCACTAACTAACATAATACATTTAGGTAACTGGTGGACTAGGTTGGATAAATAGCTCTTTCCATTAACCATAGTTGGTGAAATTCTACAGTATCATCGATCTACTTATCATTATTTACACTCAATACTCAACACTTAACTTCAACATTACTTAGTGGACAGCATCATATGTAGATAATTGTCGGAGACGTTTTTAATCAAATACCAGCAACCTACACATCTCATACATTCACAAATACTAACTAAGCTGCTGTGGTGTATATTTGGTTTCTGATATCAATCCACACAAGGTTTGTTTTAATTACTAATTTGTAAATCTTTTACCAGTCACAACTGTGTAGTAGTAAAAATAGTAATCTATTCCACGGTATCAACTTTGTATAGTTATCTCAGGTTTGGTTTTCGTGAGTTCTACTTCAGCATTGGACAAATTCAAAATTTAAGTTCGTAGAAACCGTGTAAGTCAATGACTAGTAATAATAAAGAGGGCTAGTGGAGATTGTATCCTTTTTGTGATTGAAATAACGAGCTGATCTTAGCTAGACCAATGAAAATAATACTATTTTTACAAATCCTATTTATTAATAACAATCATTTGCTCACTAGTGACTAACTACAAAATGAATTCCTAGAGTTATAGCCGTGACCAGTGGAGTTCATTATGTCAGATTTGAGACATTTATCCGATACAGACAATTAATGAAGGTTCGGAAAGATCATAGATTTATTAAAGTTGCGTGTTAACATTATTGTATCCCTGTATGAGGTCGCAAGTCCTGGGTTCGATTCCCGCGAGTGAGGGTCGTGGGTGCACACTGCTGTTTAGTCCCGTACTAGGACTGAACGACCGTTCAGTGCTTTCATGTTCGCAGGCGTGATCTAGCTAAGATGAGCTCTTAACTTTAACCATGAACATGTAAGTTAAACTGTAGACATTTTCTTACAATTAATTTGTTTAAGTATCAATATCCAAAACTACTTTTGTATGTCTCATCATTTTATATTTCTTTATCGTAATTCTATAATTTTGTTTGTGTTAATTCTTTTCATTTTCAGCATATTAAGTCCAAAATTCTATCTGAAACGGATCCAGATAAAAAAACATACTTAAACAGCGAAGTAGATCGTCTCACATCGCTTCTGTCCACTACGCCTTCTGATAAAGAGGATCCAGTTAATTTCTTGATTCTAAACGCTCGTGACGCTATTGCAGATACCTTAGACATAGCTTATGGTGCCTCTGTCAGTGACCACCAGATCTTCGAGGCGTTAGCTAGACATTTCGAGAAGGAGTATCTCGCTGATATGGCGTCTTTAAACGTATGTTCAATTATGTATAAGTATATTTCTTTTGATCTTATGAACCGCTCACTAATATAGCGACAAAACTACTAATCATAGGTTTATATGACATTGTTCTCCAGCTAAACAGCGTCATGTCAATCAGCATTAGTAGCTTTGGGGTCACAGCTACTTTCTTAATGGTACTTGATTCTGTAGCTTCTCTCTCTACTCTTCCCTCTAAGTTCAAAACATAGCAGTCACCCCTCACTATACGAATAGTATGTTTTAAGCATATGTAGTTTTGTACAGAAATACTCGACCTCATCATGCTGTATAATGAGAAAATAATCATTATACATGAACGATCTGAAAATGGGTGTGATAACCGGAGACTAAATAATAAACTTTTAATAAAATAAGAACAGTAAGTCGTATGATAATAGAATCTAGGTCAGTGAAAAAAGAATGTATAAATCTGACATCCTAGTCACTTGATAATAATTATACAGTAGAAATATACGATAATAATCCACAAAGTGGTATTCTAAATTACAATTACCTTAATCTTTGGATATATATTTATATATATGTTACGCATGCATGTAAACACGTCATTTGATATGCTTATCTTAGTCGGAAAACGAGAGCGAGGATCAAGGATCCAGTGACAGGACATACTACTCTAATCCGAGTGTCCGAACCCCCATTGAATAAAAGAAGAAGACTTGATGTGAAGTAGAACCTGTATTCTACAAACAGCCAGAAAATATGAGGTCCAAGTCCAGAACAGGATAAGGATCCTGGACTAGGGATCCGAGTCCGTGTCATAAAACGTTACAGATAATGCGTATTTATACAGTTAGGTTGAATAGGAAACATTGAAGTGTATGACATTGATAGCTAGGACAACCATAGTATTGACCAGTAGGAATCGACCAATAGAATTTACACTTACAAAATGATACTTTGTAGGATATTTGGTGAATATATATATATATATATATATATATATATGGGGCTATACTGGAGCACTGTTTATTCTGAAAGTGAAAAGCTTTTTAACTAAATTGTAGTCACTAACTACCCATATTTTTAGTATGACTAAAAACTACTTTGGTACGTAGGAAAATTCATCTCTTTTCTCTAGAACGCAATGTTCACAATTTTTTTGTGACAAATTGTTTGAAGTCACAAATCACTGTCAGTTTGAGACATCAGTCTTATGTTCGTCAACGCAAAAGTTATGCATATTTATAGTAATGTCCATATTTAGTTATTTTTTCGTTATGCACCGATTACTACTAATACTTACTGGAAAATTCTAAGCCCTCTCTAAATCTTTTCCCCTTGCAGATCATTCCTCCATCAGTACTCGTTCGGGTCACAGAGTATATTGATGCTATAATAAAATATGTGGAACAAATTATTGAAAACGGCTTTGCGTAAGTGTTTTTGGTGTTCTTGTAGAAAGTTAAATCCTATTAACCATTTTTTTTTACTGTAGTACATGAACGCATGATTTCGATATTCGAAAACAGGCTGATCAGGTACCACCAAATTTGGTACAATATTTTGTATACATTTGAAATCATCAATCGATCATTGTTAGACTACCATTAGAAACCTGGAAGCACTGGACGACCGTTTCGTCCTGGTATGGGACTCATCAGCAGTGCGCATCCACGACTCCTGCACCTCGCACGATTCGAACCCGGGACCTTCGGTATTGTGCGCGAACGCCTAACCATCGGATCACTGGGCCGGCATCCTGCGAGGTGCAGGAGTCGTGGATGCGCACTGCTGGTTAGTCCCATACCAGGACGAAACGGCCGTCCAGTGCTTCCAGGTTTCTAATTGTGGTCTAACAATGATTAATTGATGATTTCAAATGTGTAAAAAACACAAACCTCCGAAGCTCTGCCCGACAATATTTTGTAACTAAGATACGAGAGATGACCTTCAAGCATTCAAGAAATCAGCAAACTAAAAAAACAACAGGGACTAATCAGAAAACACCGGTTGTGCGCAAAATTGAATTGGGAAGACACAAGCAAGCAGTTATCGTTTCTAGAAGAATTTCAGCCCTGCTATTGAATTTAGATGTTCCTTGTGATCTCCTCAGCAGTAACATGATTGCCCATTATCGCAAACAGTTTTCAATGCACATTGGGATTCCGGACTTTGACGTTGTGACCAGTGAACAATGTAGATGAATGCCCATAGATCATATTGTGAAATTTCTTGATAGCAACAATCAAAGTCAATCCTTCCTTTTCTGTTTGACTATACTTTCTTTCTGCTATATTTAGAGATCTTGGTGTATTCTGCAAATGCTTTAGAGTCTGATATTACATTTAACACAGATGAATTATTAAAGAGTGTGGGAATCATCTAGTGTACATACCGTGCCGAATGGAATATTTCAGAGATTTAGTTTATCATTCCGATCAGTCAGTCAGTTACAATGTAGAACTTGGTACATAAGTACATCAATCAGTTCAGGTTGCCATACCACATTAGTACAGAGATTCAGTTGCCAATTCAAATCCCATATTGGTAGAGATAGTAGATGTATTACGGCTAATGGAGAAGATTGAGATTTGAAGATATTATTGAAGAAGTATAATTCAGTGAAACAAATTTAAAAAGACAAAGGTAGAAGTGCTCACGAATCTAGAAGATTAGGATTTGAGAGGAAACAAAAAGTGGATGCACTTGCGCCATTGCAAACGATTTTGAGCCATGTCATTCAAGGTCTCTAACCATTGGTGACTTTCGTCTCGCGGACCCCGACCACGTAGCCTACATCTACCAAAATAACTCAGTCCACTTCCTGGATTTCTGCCATGTTTTGGTCTGGCCGTCTCTAGCCTTCTTCCAACCTACTCCTACACCACAAAACATAGCTCATCGAGTCAGTCAGTGGTTAGGCATACACAACACATGTCTGAACCACCTCAATTGTTGGAGATTCAATACTTCATATATTGATCTGCCATCTGTCCCAGGATACACGAGCAGTGCTTCTGTGACATCTATGATCGAATACTAATAATCTACGAATACATTCTACTCTTACCGACCAATCCGATCATTGCCGATCGGATTTAAATCATGTTCATTTGTTAAATAAGAAGTCCCAGCAAAAAGCTAGAATTTAACCATACTTTTTATGAGTTTTAGGACTTCAACTACATTACAAGCTGTATGTTTCCTTGTCTTTCTAGTAACAATCAGTGCCTTATCGGATGCGTTATCTAGTTGTAGATAAATATGAGCATTATTTATTAATAGGTTCGTGTATATTCCTTTTTCGGTTAGTTTGCATAGAAATGTTGAATAGATACTGTAAAATATATTTCTTATGACTACGGGATAACTTCATTCGTGAATTTGGATGTTAACTAATCCCATTGTCAATAGGTTTGTTTATGATCATATTTATAGCATATTACATGAAATCATTTGATTTTCGTATGAAAAATATTCATAGTCAATGTCATAATTTGAACATAACTTTTGTAAAAAATAACTAAGTTTCATGCAATCAAATAAGATTAGCATTTTAAACGTGATGGTTGAAAAAATAGTTTAATACGGAGTTGTTTCTTTGAAAAAAATTATATTATTTTCGATTATTTCCAAAAGTAAACTCAGACCAGATTGATGAAAGAACCATGGGTGGAACCATTTGGTTTTAAGTTGCCTGGAAAAATTTCGACTAGTATCTCATTTTATTGCTGGTCAGTTGTTACTTACTTACTTACTTACTTACGCCTGTTACCCCCAATGGAGCATAGGCCAACCACCAGTTTTCTCCAACCAACTCTGTCCTGGGCTTCCTTCTCCAGTTCTGTACAATGTTTGTTCATTCCTCTCATATCTTTCTCTATTTCTTGGCGTAATGTGTTCCTTGGCCTTCCTCTTTTCCTTTTGCCTTGAGGGTTCTATGTGAGGGCTTGTCTCGTGACGCAGTTAGGTGCTTTTCGTAGTGTGTGTCCTATCCACTTCCACCTATTCTTCCTGATTTTTTCCTCCACTGGAATCTTGTTTGTTTTCTCCCACAGTACGTTGTTGCTGATGGTGTCTGGCCAACGAATCCGATGTATTTTGCGTAGACAACTGTTAATAAACACTTGTATCTTCTGGATGATGATTTTCGTAGTTTTCCAAGTTTCCGCTCCATACAGTCGAACTGTCTTGACATTCGTAATGAAAATCCTGATTTTGGTTTTGGTTGAAAGTTGTTTGGAGTTCTAGATATTTTTCAACTGTAGAAATGCAGCCCTTGCTTTGCCAATCCGTGCCCTCACATCTGCATCGGATCCACCTTGATTGTTGATGATGCTGCCCAGATATGTAAAGGTATTAACGTCCTCCAAGGCATCTACATCAAGAGTGATTTGATTCGTGCATGTTGTGTTGCATCGGAGAATTTTGCTTTTTCCTTTATGTATGTTGAGACCAACTGCTGCAGAGGCTGCTGCTACACTGGTCGTCTTCTGGTCAGTTGTTGGTTTCTGTTAAACTATTTGTAATAATACAACTATTGAATGTGTCTATAGGCTCAATGTAAGTGCTTACTTTTGGCTTTTGTTTTATTGTCAGATATATTGCTCCATCTGGATCGGTGTATTTTGATACAAATAAATTTGCCAGTTCTCCTATGCACTTTTATGCTAAGCTTGTGCCAACCGCATACGGTGATACTAATCAATTGGAATCTGGAGAAGGTGAGTTGAGTATAACAGGAGAGAAAAAGTCACCGAATGATTTTGCTCTGTGGAAGGCATCCAAACCTGGAGAACCCGCATGGGTTAGTCCTTGGGGTAAAGGTAGACCTGGTTGGCATATAGAATGTTCAGTCATGGCTAGTGATATTCTTGGAGATACTCTTGATATACATAGTGGTGGAGTAGATCTAAAGTTCCCACACCATGATAACGAACTGGCTCAGTCTGAAGTAAGTTTCAAATGAACCTGTAATATTATCAGTTTATCAGTGTGACTCGTTATAGTAAGTGTTATTACAGAAGAAATTCTTAATACAATAAGACATCAGGAAATGCTTCACTCACAGCTGGATGTTATCACAGTTCGAAAAGGATAAAGTCTATTCAGTTACATATCTTGAGATCTCAATGAACGCGAGGAATGTACTAAATGACTACAATAGGAAAGCCACAGGCTTTTTTATAACTAGTATTGGAGATATCAAGGCACTTAGTCGCACGAAGTCTATGACGTCGCGACTCGGGGTCATGACAAACCTACATGTACCATTCCAGCATAACTATCCTTAATTCTAAACCGACATGTAACAAACCAAATACCTATTGTCTCCTCTTACCTAGTTTCATTGTAGACAGTTGATAAACCACTGAAGTGTGACTGAAAGTAAATCTAACTTCACTGTTCTTTGCATCTGTATGATACTGTTAAGCCTGCACGTAAACACGTCAACTTGATCGATTACGAGTTTACCTAGTCGGAAAAACGAGAGCGAGGATCGAGGATCCGGCGACACGACATGCTACTCAAATCCGATTGTACCAACCCCCATATTTAGCAAAAATAAGGAGACGTGATATGAAGTAGAACCTGAATTCTACAAGCATCCAGAAAGTACGAGGTCCGAATCCAGAAGAGAATCAGGACCCCGGACTAGGGATCTGGGACCGAGCCCCCTGGTCATAAAATGTATCAGATAATGCGTATATATACATTTTAGTCGAATAGAAAACAGCATCTAATTCTGTGGCATTGACAGTTAAGACGACCAATAGGAAGTAACATTTGAAGTGACATTGATAGTCAGGACAACCAATAAGAAAGAACATTTGAAATAACATTGACAGTCCGGATGACCAATAAGATACAACATTCAAGTATTTGACAGTTAAAACGACCATAATTTTGACCAATAGAAATCGACCAATAGGATTTGACCAATAATTCTCTTAGGATATTGGATGAATATTCTAACAGATGATTATTCAATAATTAACATTAATCATGTTTAATTCCGACCCCCTCTATCCTATTATACTTAAGTTTCAAGTTACTAAATTATATCGTTTTCCAAATAAGGTTCACTCATATGATATGTATAGCACCTTACCATTTATTCTTTTTACTAGCTTTAATGATTAGTCGTTTAAATGATTCTATAATAGTAGTGACCTTTGTTTTACATTTTTAATAATTTGATAACTGTTGTATATCCGAGTGTGTTTGCGTGCTTATTACATTTTAGTCTATTATTGCCTGGCTATAAATACTCAGTTATGTTTCAGCGCAGGAGAGTTGGTTCACTTGCCGTCTCCGATTCGATTCGTTTTGCTTCTACCCTTTTCGTTCTCATCTCTGTTTGCTTAAGCGAATGTATGAAATAAATTCACACGCAAAACCATATTTAGCCTCTTATTATCGCTGTCATACAAACAGAGTTTACCTAAGTCTGATATGTGGAAATGGACAGGAAGATTTATTTCATCGCACATCCGATTATTCGTCCAAACTGGATTGAAGTCACAGGCCACTAAATATGAACAGATCAACAGATTTCTTTTTGATCCGATCTTATATCAACAACTATAGTAAAGATGTCATAACTTCCCACATTTCATTTTTTACATAGGCTTTTTTCGGACATTCTCATTGGGTTAATTATTTCCTTCATTCTGGTCATTTAACTATTTCTGGTTGTAAAATGTCAAAGTCATTGAAAAATTTCATAACTATTCGTGATGCACTTAAAACTCATTCAGCTCGACAAATACGTTTGATATTTCTTCTACATTCCTGGGGTGATACGTTAGATTATAGTGCTGATACATTGGCTGAGGCTATGGGTTTTGAGAAACAATTAGTTGTAAGTTGATTTTAATTTTTTCAAGTTGAATAAATTTTCTTGCTAAACAGATAACTTATTTGTACGATGTTATATAAGATAAGCTTACCAGTGGTTTGTTCAGATATTTCGTACGTATTATTTTATATGAATAACTGTTTAGGTTTGTGAAGCTGCTTGATTCTCAATGATTGTTGTATTTAATTTTGAGTAATGTGCGTTGATTTTTAATAGTATGTACTTAATGACAATTTCATAGGTAGAGTTATTAACTAAGTGTTTAATATGTATATCACTAGATACAACTCATTTACAAGGTAACTATTAGTATACTTGATGTTGAACAACATTCTATTTGTATGGACTAGTAATGCTAACCAAAGGACGAGTTTACTGCTCAGTAGTTCTCATTGTTCTGCTATCTGGCTTTGAAACCTGGCCATTAAGAATAGAGAATATTCATAGGTTACTAGTATTCCATCATAGCTGTCTTCGAAGCATTGCTCCGGCTTATCGAGTAAGCAGTGCTGGTGTTAGGAAAAGGGCACTAGGTTAGGATCACAAATCAACTAGTGAAGTGGTGAATCTTCATCAGTGGTCGGAACATGTATTACCTACGCCCAACCAACCATCGGCTACCTCGATGAACGATCTTATCTGATGTAGGAGTAACCTAGAAGAAAGCTAGGGACGGTCAAACCAGAACGTGGTACAGATCCATGAAGTCACTGACAACCTGGACTGAGCCATGTCAGTAGGTGTAGAGTACCTGGTTGGCGTCCGCGAAACAATCGTAACCGGTGGTTAGAGACTTTGAGTGACAGTTCAAAATCGTTTGCAATGACTCAGATGCATCCATTTTTAGTCTTGTCTTAAATTCTAATCTTCTGAGTTTCTCATGCCCTTTTGTCTCTTTTTAAATTGATTCCACTGGGCTATACTCCTCTAATCATACCTTCGCTCATTGGTCTTTTTGATTACTGCTAATACTTCTACTACCTCTACTACCATGGGATTTGAATTGACACATTCTATCTATGTGTGCTAAGGTTGTATGGCTGACTTTCTGACTGACTGACTTTACAGTTGCCTAAATCACAGCAGTTTGAACTTATTTTAAAGCCAAGGATTACTGGCTTAAAGTCGAACGCCGAACGGCTGAACCACCTATCCACTTCTTCATTCTTCGTATGACCGTTACAGCTGGTTCTAACACATAGTGGATATAAAACTTGATGAATTTCATTTTTCTATTTTCTGTTATATGCGTGCTACGTCTCCGACTTACTAGTTTCTCCATATTTGTTATATGATAGACTCATTTGGAGTTGTTGTCTGTTTTAGGATTTCTTGTACACTTGTTCAAATATTCAGTTTTTGGCAAAGCAATCTTTATTGAATAATAATAATAATCACACTTTGGAAGAAACTGAAACTGGTGACTTTAAACAGACTCTTTTGGATATACAACATAAAGTATATCATGCATTATGTGGTAAGTGAGAAATGTAAAATGTGTTCATACTTCTGTATTTATTGTAAATTCTATGTGCATTAATAGTGTCCTCCTACTTAAACTTGATAGCATTCCTCTTGTATTGATAGTCGCGGAAGCTTGAAACAGTAAATTATTGTTCATTAGAGTGATTGCAAACAGTAATGTAGTGTAACAGATTAGATCAAGGTAATGGAGCGATAGCTCAGTGGTTAAGTTGGTTATCTAAGTCACAGGTTTGTACACTGTCCGATTTCGCTTTGGGTAACTTAATAGTATCATTAGCTTCCAGTACACGGTTGTCAAGTATTCATGCTTCTAATGAACAGTTATTTCATTATTTTGCTTAGAGCTATCTTGAACTGGTTAAGCTTGTTAACATTTAGGAGGAAGGTTGTATTACAGTTTTTAGTGTTGCTTGTCCAGCTGTCTAGTGCTTCTTTAGCTTGCGTGTGGGTTTGGCCACCACAAGGTGATGATTTGTTGCTTCTCCCTCTGTTCTTAGCGAGCACCAACTCTGAGAATAGGAGGAAGCATTTTATGACATGGCGACCTCCACAATCAACTCAACGCTAGATTCAAGTAAATCAATTTGCCATCAGCCATCGGTAGGGTGGCCCAATAGGAGATTGCTGCTTATTCTGGAGTATATATTTAGACTCATCATGCTTCAGTACGAGCACGTATTTTTCTGCATCGCATTAGAGTTAAAAAACCACAGCACTGAAGCCCTTCGGGGCTCAACTTAACGATAAAATAGCATGGAGTACATCCCCGGAGTGAAGAAAACCAGTTGGTCAACCAAGTAAAAAGAGATAACAATGACAGTGACGATAGATAACAGTAGACAACTGTTCAGGAAATGGGTATTTGAAGTTCGGTTATCAAGGGGACTATCGGAAAAGGATGGAATTATTATTCAATCTCAATTCAGGAGGTCGAACCGAGGGGCCGAACACTTTAGGAAACAGTTCAATTAGCTTTCAGCTACCCTTCATTTCCAAATAAGCTGTCTGACAAATTGATGTAAGTCCTCCAGCTCTTAATAAGCTTAAAAAATGCCTTAGGCCACATGAAGCAAGGGAGAGCAGGAGAGCCAGATGGAATAACTCGAGATTTTTCAGGATAGTAGTCCAGTTTTAGCAGTTAGATTGGTTGAGATCTTAGGTGAAATCGTGGAATTAGATGTATTCCCATCTGAATGGTCTCAGGTGTCTAAAATATTAGCTTCAGTGATACTTCGACGCCTAGCTAGAGCTCGAGAAAACCAGGCTTGTTTTAAATCTGGACTTGGACCAAATATTCATACTTCATCAGGTCCTATTATCCGCAGAATGGTGTTCTTCTGGCCGCCCACTTTCTCCATTCTTATTTCACTCTGTCAATGACGTGCTTTTAGAGATGACATTTTCATCGTGTGAATTTCCAGGAGTTAACCTATCAGGAGATTCACTGATTGACTTAGAATACGCAGATAATAGTCCTGCTTGGTGAAGATGCTGACAAAATGCAGTCTTGTGACCACCCTAAGCAACAATGCAAACATCTTCGGGATGAGATTCTCCTTCTCAAAATGTAAGATGTTGTTTCAGGATTGGCTTGAGTCGGCACCTGAACTAGCAATAGGGAGTGAAGTAGTTGAGCGTGTTGACTGCTTCACTTATCTTGGAAGTCTCATAAGTGCTGATGGCCTGGTTTGTGACGAAATCTCAGCATGGATGCAAAAGGCTCGACTGGTGTTTGTCAATTTGTGTCACTTATGGAGTAAGCGAAATACTCATCTGCCGACTAAAGAATGGGTTTACTGCACATCGCTTCGTTCTAGTTTGTTGGTATTGAAACATGACCATTAAGAATAGGAGATATTCGTAGCTTACTAGTGTTTGATCACAAGTGTCTTCTAAGGATTGCTTGTGTATTCTGGGACCACCGAGTAGACAATTATTGGGTTACGAATAGTGTACTACGTAATGGTGCTAATTTGATTAGTGAAGAAATGAATTTTCATCAGCCAAGGTAGCTAGAATATGTGTTACATATGCCCAACCACCGACTACCTTAAGGGGCGATGTTTTCTGATGCAGGAATAGTTTGGAAAAAAGGTGGGGGCGACTAAACCAAGACATTGCATTAGTTTTTGAAGTCATTCTTAATTGAACTGAACCATATATGTAAGTGTAGATTGCCCGAGTGGAGTCCGTATGATAATCGTAACCAATCGTTAGACTTGGGATGAAATGGGTAATAATCGTTTGCAACAGCGCAGATACCTTCGTTCTTTTTCTTCTCTCAAATTCTCGGTTTCTAAATCCCTCATAATCATTTTGTTTCACGAATTTATACTTCCATAAATTTATCGTCGATACTTAGTCTTTATCACCATTAATACAGGTACTATCTATACTACTCTTGAATTCGCCCTAACAATTCCATTTCTTTGTGCTAATGGAGTATGACATCTTGAACCAATGTATCTACGTACCAAGTTCTAGGTTGCAAATGACTAACTGATTCCGTGAACCTTCTGAATGTTTTATTGACGCGGATGTGATCTATCTGGTTTTAATCAGTGTAGCCACTTATAACCATATTGTTGAAAGCTTATAGATCTAATGATCTCTCACCATTCTTGTCATTTTCTTCTAGTCTATGTGGCTTCATGATGCGTTTATACCAAGTGTTGTCCATCTTGACCTTGGCATTTAGTTCAGAACGGTTAGATGTTTTCCTAGAAATTTCTCTACTATGGATCTCCAACTGTCACAAAACTGATTTTCATGTTGTACAGTGCCATGAGGATTGGCGAGCATGTCGTTGTGGATGACATTCATTGTAATAGTCTTGTTCTTCGTTTTGAGAGATGCTTCAGTGTTCCTAGATCCATGACTTTCCCATTCTATGTGCGGTCTCCGTGTTTCTTTGTAGAACATCAGTATATACATATATATATATATAATATATATATAAGTATTTTGTTCTTCATGAACAAAACACAACATCTCCTGTAAAGTAGATATTTTCTGTGCAGATTGTGTTCAATGAGTTTCAGTTGTTTGAAGCACGATCAGGTTGTGTTGTTTAATTTCTGCCGCTATTTGAATGACTGTTCGGGTCTTTCGCACTGTCTAGACGTTTCATGTACCTATATGTTGTTGTCATCGTCAAAATTTTGTTTGGCATCTGTTCATCTGTTTGGTGGTTTTGTGTTTGATTTCTAATCATTGTGGGTGGTTTAGTCAATCATGAGGTTTTATCTCATTGCAATCATCTATGGATTAGCATTCTATCTGTAGATTTTAACAAATGTGAATATCGTTTAGATAGTTCACAGAAAATCTCCTCTTCAACATTTCGCTTGTTACTCAGTGAATTCTTGAGAATCGGATAATCATTTGTAAATCATAACTATTCACCTCATCTTGAAATATTATTAAAATTTACATGCACTTAGTCGGGCACTATATTTCTTTGTTCTTTTGTGCTAGACTCCTGTGATACTCGATCAGTCTTGGACTGTATCAAAATGTTAATGTCAGAAGCTGATTCGAAATTATTCAATCGTATTGAACCAAACAAGTGTATATCCAATCTAGCAGATGATGCTTTTGCTTCAAGTCGTTTTATCCTTCAACTATTTCGTATTTTTGGTGTTGCTGATCATACCGCTGTCGCTGCTGGTTCTCCAGTACCATCTGGACTTGTTGTAGCTGGTAACAAAGTTCCAGAAAATCATGAAATTGTACCTTTAAGAGAAGCCGATGAAACTGCATTTGGTTTTCGAAGTTGGCTTTCTCTCGATAGTCTGACTGAAGAACGTCTTATATCTTGTGTACACAAATCACTGGAAGCTAGTTCAATGTTTATCCAAGCTATTATTCATGAAGGTTAGTTTTGTTACTTTAATATATATATCGATGGTATCAAATGATTTGCCATTTACCACGGGCTATTACGTAATGATCTAAAATAACCTGTAACAATCTGTTAGTCTTGACCCACTAGATTCGATCATGTGGTACTCAGAGGAGCGATTCCGTTTGACGATTGAGGACTAGATTATAAAAATAGAATAATTTATCCGCCCAAAGTACAAGGTTTACACCACAGTTTAATTTGAGTAGAATGTGAAGAGAATCACATTTTTACTGTTTATTACTCTGGGAAATGTTTGTCTTTGTTCAATCCAATCACTGCTCACATCATTTGATCAATTATATAGGGATTTTATAGCCACTCTAAATTACTGTTGCTGTTCTGCAAAGATGGTTGGAGGTTCATTTTAGGTTCATTTTAGGTTCATTTTTCATTATATTTTTGCTCATTCTTTAGATCATACTACTTTCACTCATCAGTTTAATCATAATTCATCGAGTAGTATTGTTAATCCTTAATTTGTGTACTTGATTTCACACTTGACCATTTGTTTAGTCGCTGAGTTTCATTGGTTTTTTTTTATCGAGGTGTTAGTGGGACATAGATGGAATTACAGCATGACTACGTTGCTACGCGCTGATTGGCTAATTTCCCGTCCAATCAGCGCCTGATCGAAGCTTGGAGAACAGGATAGAAAATTCTCGTATCATTAGCTGCATGCTGATTGGTTAAATCTAATCCAGCCGATCACGTGAATTTTCTTCCAGAAGCTTTCCCATGTAAAGGCTATAAATAGACTAGCGTTGTATTTATTTTTGCCTTCTTGCTTTCTTTGCCTTGACTTTCGCCACCACCTCCGGCTACTTATTCCTTGCTATTTTGGAATATAATCTTTCCTGTTCAACCGTGTTTTGACTTTTGGGGACTTGTTCAGTGTTTTGTGTCAAGAATACTAAGCAATAAGATTTAGTTAGAGAATATCTAAACAACCGTTACAACACGAGGTGTACCTGAAATCCTATGAGAATTGAGCTGTTTGGTCATTGACAGCTTCCTAATTAGCATCAAAAAATTGTCTATCTCTACAAACTAATTATATATTGTGTTGTTGGTGAGGTAGGATTTTTGTCGGTGATTTTAGCGTATTCATTATGTGCAATGTTTACGCTTTGCAAAAAACCACTTTTTCTATTTCAGTCAAAGAGGTGTATGTATTGTTTAGGTAATGGAGATTTATAGTACAGGATAAGTACCCAATTGTGGAATATATGTCTTCAATTGTTGATATTGTTAAGGTTGTCAAATCAGCACCTATTGTGACTTATTTACTTTAACATTATTGCCGACTGTGCAATATAGTTATGTCATGTAATGGATACTTGTTCCTATTGGTTACTGTATCGTGTAAAAACATGAAACATACAAGTTCTATTACGAAGTTCAGTTTCATACCTGTTTATCCTAACCTGGGGTTATATTCACTCAAATGTCTTTGTACACTAGTCTCTCTGTTATTTCAGTCTGTATTAACAGGGTAACATCACTAACCCATAAACTTAAATTATGTAGGAATCTATACTTGATAATGAGTTAATGATAATAACAATAAGTTCTTCTCATCATACCTATTTTGAACTGGTTAACTGTAAATTACAATAATAACACTATTCCAGTTATATCTATACAATTTGAGTACTAGCTCCGCTCTTAAAGGCCCTTAGTGGGCACCCTTACCGACGGAGACGGAGATCCGTGAGTTAGGACGAGGTGTGACATTTCTAGGGTCGACTATTTCTAACCCTTCCTTCCTTCCTTGTGAGAAGGCAGTATCGCTGCAGATGCTGGTTGTCCGAGGGAAACACCTTACTGCTGTCACATCCCTCTGCAGTCAGTAGTACGACTTTGCCCTCAGACCTTGAGTAGCTGCTTTTAGTCTCATTGTTTTCCAATCGACCTGTTTGGCATGGTAGAACCTTTAGGAACATATGTTTCAGCCAATATAGCTCGGTTGGGTCATCACGATAGGCAAGCCCGACCACCACGTCAAGGTAGCAGCTACGGTCGGGTTTTTAATATTTTAATGTCAACTTATAATCACTTTTTACACATTTGAAATCATCAATCAATTATTGTTAGACAACCATTATAAACCTGGAAGTACTGGACGGCTGTTTCGTCCTGGTATGGGACTCGTCAGTGGCAGTGCGTATCCACGACTCCTGCATCTCGTAGGATTCGAACCCAGGACCTTCGTTATTGTATGCGAACGTTTAACCTCTGGACCACTGGGCCAACGTTGCCGTTAATGATATATATATATATATATATATATATATGTTATTTTTACTCTCCATTATTGATATTTATAATTAGGAAGAAAGTAATCTCTTTTTTATTGATTTTATATTGTCGATTAGTTAAATAACATCAGAAAATATTTTACATGATTCTGTTAGGTGATCTATTCAAACAGATTGTGGCTGATTTCACTTCTGAAGTACAGAAACAGTACGGAATTGATTTATTCAATATAGAATCAGATGGAAGGCGTAAGTTTTTCCCGCATATATTCTTACGTATATATTGAACATTTTGTTTTGCCTCGTTAACAAAGTTTATAGTTACGTATGATTATATATGTGCTGCTTGGTTTATAAGAATCAATAATTCAGAAGTCTGCTATTTGATACAACTTTTAGCACTAGAACCAGTAGAACCGCTTCTAAGTCGCAAATAACAAGACAGAAGAAACGTGTACTGCAGTATACTTGAAAATGTATAGTTTTATAATTTTCGTATCGATCGAAAAAACTGCGTTAGAATCATCCAATCCGCAAACAAAATAATGTTGTTATACACCCTTGTCCAATCATCTTACACCACATTGACAACTCTAGACATTCTATCGAGCTGTGAATATATCGAATCTCTTTGGCTTCTTGAAAGCTTCTGTAGAATTCATTACACTTCCTGTGAGTCATCACAGCCGGTTTTGCCACCTTATTAATGAATATACCACTCTTATTTAATGATTTGTGTGTAATCTGTTGATTGCTAACTTCATGGTCCAAAAGCAAATGAGCACTAGTTCGAGAACATCTTTAATTGAATGCCACTTACAGATCTCTACAAATCACTAATAATCGGTGTAAATATTTTATGTTTATAGATTAATAATATTCAATCTGTTATGTTCGTCACTAGGTAAGCTTGAAGCTATTACGAGTTCACCTTAGTCGATAAACGCGAACGAGACAATAAACCAGCGTCCAGATAGGCTACTTTGAATCCCAAGCTGTAAACAGAAGGGTTGATAAGCGTATAAAGTATATTCTACAAACACCCAGCAATTACACAATACAATCAAGCACACAACTCTTGTTTATTTATACATCATAGAAACATCCTTGGGACAGTCACAAAAATAGCACACTAAAATACACAGCAGCCAATCATAGCTAAGGATTTTCCTGGTGGGAAATGAAACCTCAAGGTCAACTGATCAGCCCGTACTCGCAAACGTGAAATCCAAAATAAGGCATTTATTAGGCGAGTTCTGGGGATCTAACATCCCCAACACTATCTAAGTCACACATTTTCTCTTACCCTTACAGCAATCACAAATAATGATTGTTTTTTTGCAAATCGATGCATAGAATATCAACCAATTTATAATAACGTCGTACAATGCTGATTGCATATGTGTTCGGCAATGGTGCAAGCTAGCGGCTTGATAACTAACTGTTCACAATACCAAATAACGGACGTAATCTCTCAATTGGTTTGAGATAAAAACAAGACATTTCCCCCTAGTTAAATAGGTTTTTCACTTAACTATAAAAGCATTTAGGACGCAGCTGGACGATTTGGACTTCGCAGATGACCCGGCTCTTCTATCTCACACGCAACAACAAATGCAAGAGAAGGCGACCAGTGTAGCTGCAGCCTCTGCAGCAGTAGGTCTCAACACATATAAAGGAAAAAGCAAAGTTCTCCGATGCAACACAACATGCACCAACCAAATCACTCTTGATGGAGATGCCTTGGAGGACGTTAAGACCTTTACATATCTGGGCAGCATCATCGACGAGAAAGGTGGATCGGATGCAGATGTGAGGGCACGGATTGGCAAAGCAAGGGCTACATTTCTGCATTTGAAAAATATCTGGAATTCCAAACAACTTTCAACCCTAACCAAAATCAGGATTTTCAATACAAATGTGAAGACAGTTCTACTGTATGGAGCGGAAACATGGAGAACTACGAAAGGCATCATCCAGAAGATACAAGTGTTTATTAACAGTTGCCTACGCAAAATACTTCGGATTCGTTGGCCAGACACGATCAGCAACAACGAACTGTGGGAGAAAACAAACCAGATTCTAGTGGAGGAGGAAATCAGGAAGAAGCGGTGGAAGTGGATAGGACACACACTACGAAAAGCACCCAACTGTGTCACATGACAACCCCTTATATGGAACCCTCAATGTGAAAGGAAAAGAGGATGGCCAAGGAACACATTACCTCGAGAAATAGAAAAAGGTACGAGAGGAATGAACAAAAACTGGAAAGAACTGGAGAAGGAAGCCCAGGACAGAGTTGGTTGGAGAAAACTGGTGGTTGGCCTATGCTCCATTGGGGGTAACAGGAGTAAGCAAGTAAGTAAGTAAGTATAAAAAAACATATATATATATATATATATATATATATATATATGCGCGGTATTCTGAATCAATCCAAATGACAATGCTACTTTTTCTTTGCCTTTATAGACTGCTTGGAATGCATTTTGCAAACTAGCCACCAATCGAGTCTTTTTGAATTAACAAGTATACCACATGGACTAGAAATTAATGTATGGCCAATTGTTTTTAATTTTCTCCATACACTTGTTTCTATACGTAATACAATAAGAAAAATGTTATCTTCTGGCTCTGTGATGGATTCTTCTTGCAAGAAACGCTTGTATGAAGCATGTGATCGTTTTCGTGATATTGATCTTGTGAATGCAGAAATTCGACTTCAAGATCGTGCTACAACAATGGATCTTAGTCGTGGTTTAGATATTCCACCTTTTATTGGATTAGTTGATAAAATATTTTTACTAAATGAACATTCAAGCAATAAAACAAAGGTAATTCTGTTTTTATTAAAGAACTCTTTGATTATTTATTGACAGTCAGTCAATTCAGTCAATTACAGAAGAATTAGCAGTAATGGAGGGATCGAAGGGATCGAAGATATTGTTCAAAAAGTATAGTTCAGTGAGATAACTTTAGAAAGAGAAATATAGAGAAGATGAGGAATTGAGAAGGTTAGAATTGGAGAGAACACAAAGAGTGGATGCACTTGCGCCAATACAAACGATTTTGAGCCATGTAATTCAAGGTCTCTAACCATCATCGGTTACCATCATCTCGTGGACTCCAACCAGGTAGCCTACATTTACCAACATGACTCAGTCCACTTGTCAGTGACTTCCTGGATTTCTGCCATGCTTTAAACTGACCACCCCTAGCATTTTTCTAACCTATTCTCACACCACAAAACATAGCTCGTCGAGGTAGTTGGTGATTGGGCATACTCAGCACATGTCGTAACCACTTCAACTGATGAAGTTTCAATACTTCATCAATTGATTTGGCATCCCTACCTAGCATCCGTTTCCTAACAACTGCATTGCTTACCCAATAGTCCCAATGCTTCAGAGACACCTATGATCGAAAACTAGTAACTTACGAATATCTTCTACTCTTACTGGCCATATTTCGCAGCCATAAAGTAGGACGGAACGAACTACTGTGCAGTAGACTCGTCCTTTGGTTAGTAAACAAATATCTCGCCTTCTCCATAAGTGACACGAATCGACAAAAGCCAATTGAGCTTTCTACGACAAAGTTAAACTAGAATGGAATTATTTATTGGTCACTGGTTTATGAATTGATCGGGTTGATCAACTGTGTTTATTGATTATTTTTAAGGGTTATATCAATTAAATTGAAAAATCGTTGAAAAATGTACTTACTTACTTACTTTCGCCTGTTACCCCCAATGGAGCATAGGCCGCCCACCAGTTTTCTCCAACCAACTCTGTCCTGGGCTTCCCTCTCCAGTTCTGTCCAATGTTTGTTCATTCCTCTCATATCTTTCTCTATTTCTCGGCGTAGTGTGTTCCTTGGCCTTCCTCTTTTCCTTTTGCCTTGAGGGTTCCATGTGAGGGCTTGTCTAGTGACGCAGTTGGGTGCTTTTCGTAGTGTATGTCCTATCCATTTCCACCGCTTCTTCCTAATTTCCTCCTCCATTGGAATCTGACTTGTTCTCTCCCACAGTTCGTTGTTGCTGATGGTGTCTGGCCAACGAATACGAAGTATTTTGCGTAGACAACTGTTAATAAACACTTGTATCTTCTGGATGATGGCTTTGGTAGTTCTCCATGTTTCCGCTCCATACAGTAGAACTGTCTTGACATTTGTATTGAAGATCCTGATTTTGGTTTTGTTTGAAAGTTGTTTGGAGTTCCAGATATTTTTCAACTGTAGAAATGCAGCCCTTGCTTTGCCAATCCGTGCCCTCACATCTGCGTCCGATCCACCTTTCTCGTCGATGATGCTGCCAAGATATGTGAAGGTGTTAACGTCCTCCAAGGTATCTCCATCAAGCGTGATTCGGTTGGTGCATGTTGTGTTGCATCGGAGAATTTTGCTTTTTCCTTTATGTATGTTGAGACCTACTGCTGCAGAGGCTGCTGCTACACTCGTCGTCTTCTCTTGCATTTGTTGTTGAGTGTGCGATAGAAGAGCCAGGTCATCTGCGAAGTCCAGATCGTCCAGCTGCGTCCTAACTGTCCAGTTGATACCGTGCTTCCCTCCAGATGTCGACGTCTTCATAATCCAGTCGATGACCAGGAGAAAGAGAAAGGGTGAGAGTAAGCAACCTTGCCTGACACCGGTCTTCACCTCAAAAGAGTCTGTCAGCTGACCTCCGTGTACGATTTTGCAGTTGAATCCATCATAAGAATTCCGTATGATGTTGACTATTTTCTCAGGCACACCGTAGTGTCGAAGAAGCCTCCACAGTGTTTTTCTATCCACGCTATCGAATGCTTTCTCGTAGTCGATGAAGTTGATGTAGAGTGGTGAGTTCCATTCAATTGATTGTTCCACAATGATCCGTAATGTAGCAATTTGGTCAGTACACGATCGATCCTTACGAAATCCAGCCTGTTGATCTCGAAGTTCGGCGTCTACGAAGTCCTTCATTCTGTTTAACAATACTCTGTTGAAGACTTTGCCTGGTATTGAAAGAAGAGTGATGCCTCTGTAGTTTTCACACTTGCTGAGATCGCCTTTCTTTGGTATTTTGATGAGGTATCCTTCTTTCCAATCTGATGGTACTTGTTCCTCATCCCAAATCTTCTTGAAGAGAATGTGAAATATTTTCGCAGTTGCTTCCACATCTGCTTTCATTGCCTCTGCTGGAATGTTGTCTGGTCCTGCTGCTTTGCCGTTCTTGATTTGTCTGATGGCTATACTGATCTCCTCAATCGTAGGTGCGCCAATATTAATTGGGAGGTCCGTGGATGCTGCTTCGATGTTGGGTGGGTTCAGTGGAGCTGGTCGATTCAATAGTTCCTTAAAGTGCTCCACCCACCTATTTCGCTGTTCGTCAGTGTTGCTGATTATTTTCCCTTCCTTGCTTTTCACTGGTCGTTCTGGTTTACGATAGTTTCCGGCGAGCTTCTTTGTAGTTTCGTACAATTGTCTCAAGTTTCCTTCTCTTGCAGCCTTTTCCGCCGTCATTGCTAGATAATCCACATATTTTCGTTTGTCATCTCTGATGCTCTTCTTCACTTCCCTGTTTGCTTCTGTATACTCGGCTTGCGCCTTAACTTTCTCTGCTCTTGTTCGGCAGACATTGATAGCTGCCTTCTTGTTCCTCCTTTCTTGAATTTTTTCAAGAGTACCAACAGAGATCCACTCCTTGTGATGGTGCTTCTTGCGACCAAGGACCTCCTGACATGTTGAAGTGATTGCCTCCTTAATCCCTTTCCAACTGTTCTCCAATGTTGCTTCCTCTCCATTGAGTAGATCCTGAAAGGCCTGGAACCTATTGGTGAGGGCTATCTTGAATTCGTTGAGTTTTACGGTATCCCGAAGAAAGGCCGTATTAAACTTCTGTGATGTTGTCTGCCCCGCTGTCCAGTGCTTCTTTAGCTTCAATCTCATTTTGGCGATCAGCAAGTGGTGATCTGAAGCTATATCAGCTCCTCTCTTGGTTCTCACATCCTCCATGGTCCTTCTGAACTTTTTGTTGATACAGATATGGTCAATTTGGTTTTGAGTAGTGTGGTCCGGTGAAATCCATGTGGCTTTGTGAATGCGTTTGTGCGGGAATATTGTGCCACCGATGACCAGTTTGTTGAAGGCACATAGGTTTGCAAATCTCTCACCGTTTTCGTTCCTTTCTCCCAGTCCATGTCGTCCCATGATGTCTTCATATCCAGTGTTGTCCATTCCAACCTTGGCATTCAGGTCTCCCATAAGAATCGTCAAATCCTTTGGTGAACATTTATCGACGACTGACTGCAGCCTTTCGTAGAATTGATCTTTAACGTCGTCATTGTAGTCATTGGTAGGTGCATAACATTGGATGACGTTCATTGTAATGTCCTCTTTCTTTGTTTTGAAGGATGCTTTAATGATCCTGGGTCCATGAGATTCCCATCCTATCAGTGCCTTTTGTGCATGTTTGGACAGCATCAGTGCAACTCCTTGTGTATGTGAAGCGTTTTCCTCTTCATGACCAGAGTATAACAGCAGTTCCCCTGAAGCAAGTCTCAGTTGTCCTACCTGTGTCCAATGTGTTTCACTGATGCCGAGCACCTCGAGGTTGTATCTTTTCATTTCTGCCGCAACTTGAAATAGTCTTCCAGACTCCCACAATGTACGAACGTTCCATGTACCTAAAAAAATGGTTGCTCTGGTTGTCAGAAGAGGCATCGGCCCCGTGACTTCCGAGGGGACTCGGCTTTCATCACGAGACGTCATAATTCTTCTTCCAACTCCCAGGGCAGAGTTAAAATGGTTTGAATTATTTTTTCTGGTTAGCGTTTTTTTGGCAAGTTAGATTTCAACGGAATGGGGCCGCCAACCCCATGTCCAACCCTCCTCCTTTATCCGGGCTTGGGACCGGCAGTAGCCCCTAAGGTTCTACTGGCGGAGTTGTTGAAAAATGTAGTAAAGAGAAATCCGAATATCATTGTGTCAGAGTTGCGCTTTGGTTTACTATTTCAGTCATTCGTTGAATTGTTAGATTAATCAAAATCTTCACCGATTTATGTTAAGTGAAAATCACTGATGATGTGCAGGCTTTAATTGTAGCATGATCCTTTTTATTATTTTGTTGAACTCTTTTATTCATCTGTTGCGGGTCAATAGAATTTGAATGGTTCACAATATGTATTTCGTAGTTTTTGATGATACATATGTTTGTTACTGTGATGATACTCCATTCGTGTTTGTGCTGTTCTAATGTACACTAGTGTTAGCGAAATACAGATAGATTAGAGCATGACTGCGCTAGCTGCGCGCTTATTGGCTAATTCCTATCCAATCAGCTGCTGGTAGATACTTGGAGAGTATTCTAGAGGTATCTCATGTTGTTAGCTGCACACTGATTGGCTAAATCGTATCCAATCAGCGCTAGCCGATACTTGGAGTATATTTCAGAAGCTTCTCATGTGAAAACTATGAAGATACTAACGTTGTTCCTATTTCGCCTTCGCTTCGGCTTCTTACTGTCCGACCGTGTTCTGATTTGGGGACTTGTCGAGTGTATTGCTGTCTGAGATTACTAAGCAAAAGGAATAGCCGGGTTCTATCAAGAGACAATTATGACAACTAGATAGACGAATTTCAGAAATTAGTAGCATCATTTAGCGCGTCGTTGCCTTTTAAAGATACAATAAACTCTTTCGCTGCTAATTCATCTTCTTGCTTTCATATTTCATACTTTCACTGAGACAACCTTAAAGTGTTGTCGCTTTCAGAAATGTTTGTAAAACATTAGAATACAAGCCCGTTTACTTGTTACAATACATTTAACCTAGCAAAGAGACAATTTATGATTATTGAACTTTGGGACGTAATTTTTTTCGATTTTTGATTATAAATCTGATCGGTTTTAACAACTAACTACCAGTAAATTGTTGTTTTGTTTATGTCTCCTTCATTTAGCGTGTTGAAACAAAAGTTGTAAAAAATACTGTCAAACAAGAGGCAGGTCGTATACCACCTTGGGAGCTTTTCCTCTCTGAAGTGGATAAATATTCGAAATTCGATAGTAAGGTAAATAATAATAGTTGTTGCTTGTTTTCTCTGATTGGAGATGTTTAAGGTATTGTTAGTTTGACGTAGAATTGTCATTCTTATGAACGAGTGGAGTTTTCTTTGACATCTTATTGTGGGCTTTAGATCTCCAGAACTCACTTGGAAAAGGTCCTCATTTTGTAATTTTATTCTGACATTTTTGAATTTTTATGTTTTCGTGCCCAAAGGTGCTTAGGTGACCTTCAGCTTACATTTCCCACTGGGAAAATCCTTGATTGCCATTGGTTGACGGTTTATTTCAGTACACTATTTTGTAGCTCTCATCAAAGGCATTTTTATCATTGTATAAATAAGCTTGAGTTGTATGCTTAGCAACCTCGTACTTTCTGGGTGCCTGTAGAATTGATTCTGTACGCCTTATCAAGACTTCTTGCTCTAGTTAGCAAGGTCTAGTACAATCGGATTAGAATAGTCTGTCATGTCACTGCATCGTTGATCTTCGTTCCTTTTTACCGAGTAAGATGAACTCATGATAGTTTCAAGCATATCATATCCAATCCCTAGTTTATAATATCAAACTTTTCGTCCGTTCTGTAAGTTTACGTGTTGATGCAAGTTCATTAAATGATCTTCAGAATAAGTTGTTTTTTTGTTCTATCCAGTCAATCGTGCAGATCTGTACTACTCAAATGTATTCAGTTAATTTTTCCACTAATTCTATTATTATTCTTTATTTCTTACCTTTTAATAATCGATATGAGTATGTGGAGATTATTGAATGTTATTGAGATTATGAACCGGTCTGAGTTAAAAAACCGTTAAAAACTAGGAAGCACTAAACAGTTGTTTTATCTTTGTATGGAGCTTCTGGGTAGCAGGACCTTCGGTCTCGCATGGGAGTGCTGATTGTTTGGATAACTGAGCAGAAATTCATTTGTTTATATGTCTAACTCCAATCAATTCACCCTATTTCTAGATTATATTCCAATGTCTACTAGATTGTTGAACTCCATTAGTTACGGCAGTCTAAAAATATCTTAGAAAGAGTTTTTGATGCGATTGCTTTCCAACTAGATTAACATTCCTTTTGTTATCTTGCTGTTTGTTTGAGTGTATCTTAATTTCAAAAGGTAGTGTGAATTAAAAGTATGTTCAATACTTACAAACAGTTTATTCTTGTAGTATCCAGCGCTTTAACCGGGTTGCTGGGTATGGAGGATCTACCTAGGGAATTTGAAAAGCTCTGGTTCCAAACTAATGGTACTCATGGACTCTAAAATCCCTATGGAACGAATGACATATAAATCTATTGTCGGTTCATCGTTACCATGGGACTGCATCTCCTAACGTTGTTTCACTGCCTTGTCGATCAAACTTTTTGAGTTAAAGGCTCACAGTGTGGCACCCTAAGAAAACCATTTGTTTCGGTTTGGGCATCCTAGCCCACTCACAAATTCAATAATTTGTATGGCGCATAAATATTTAGGTATTATTTTGTACCAGTGTTTATACGTTTATGTAATCCAAAGAATATCCAAATTGATTTCAAAAAATTAAAGATACCTCCATCTTACCCATTTCAAAGTACATTCTATTAATACAATAAATTCAGTTGCATTTCCATTGTTGAAAACATTCATACAAATGAAGAAGTGATGAAGCTTTTTTTCCATATTAAGTTGCTTCATTTAATATTTTGCCATCACTACTACATTTCAGAAATTGTTACGCATGCACGATAAAACACGTTATTTGATATGCTTGAACTAGTACGAGTTTACCGTAGTCAGAAAACAAAAGCGAGGATCGAGGATACGGTGACACGACAGGTCACTCTAATCCGATTGTCCCAACCCCCCCCCCCCATTGAGTAAAAAACGAAGAGGCAGAACGTGTATTTTACGAGCATTCAGAAAGTACGAGGTCCGAGTCCGTGTCATAAAACGTCAAAGATCATGCGTATTTATAAAGTTAGGTCGCATAGGAAACGACATTTGAAGTATGTGACGTTGACAGGTAGGACGACCAAGAGAATTAAACTTACAACTAATTCTCTTGGGATATTTGATAAATATCCTAACAGAAACATAGAAGAATTTTCAACGAACTATGTTCACTGAGTAGGAGTTATGATGGATGTTCTGAATGTTCTTTATTTTCTGAATCAAAATACAAACCAGAAACTCAAAGTCAATCATTGATCATCATCAATGTGTAGTCGCTTAAATTTTTGCTCGCATTGAGTGAGTGTTTGACCAATATGTAGAATGCCGATTACACTAAGAGAGCTACAGTGTCTTCATGACTAAATTGGGTTAACTTTTTAATTGTGGTGGTGTTTCTATTCTCTGAGCTGGATATTTTGGTTGTGATGATTTCATTGTTCTTCTGAACAACATCATCAACAGCACAAACTTCAGATAGAAGAAGTGAAGTATTTGAATTTCTCCACGTCTGACTCGTAGCTTGTTCTGATTGGTTGCTGTTGACTTTAAACCTGTTGTTGTTTGCACCTTTGTTTAGATTGTATCCCCCTTTTGATCTGTCGCCTATGATTTTTTCTGATTAGTTAATAAATTGGGTCAATATCGATGTGTTTGTTGATTGCTGATTGACCTGAGTGCCAAGCTTCTCAAAATTCTCTGGCGGTCTTTGTCCTCCCCACATTGTTCGAATACTTCACTTCTTCTATCTAAAGTATTGTGCTGCTGCTATTGATGATGATGATGATGTTGTTCAGAGTAAAAGAACACTTCAGTTGATAATTATTTTCTATTTCTATCTCTCTCTCCTATTATAGGGTATGCCTACACATGATGCATCAGGCAATGAATTAACAAAAAGTGCTTTGAAAAAATTACAAAAATTATATATTGCCCAAGAGAAAAATTATACAAAATTTTTAAAATGTAAAGAATAACACTATGAACATGATTTATTTCAAATGATCAAAGAAAGTAAGAATTTGTTTGTTGATTACAATTAGCCGTGGATGATGAGGTGTTACCTGTAGTTTTCCTCAAAAAATATTGAACCTTACATCTTTATTTTGGGGTGTGTATGTGTATATTTCTAATTCTATTGTGCTCTTTCAATATCTTCTTGGAAATACTGTATAATATATGTTTGATCTTTGTTTCTGTCTTCCAAGACTGACCGTTTTTTTTGTAATGATTTTTTTAATGAACAACGGTCTGTAGAAAAAAAACAAATTAAAAATTCATTTCTTATGCAGGGGGCGGCGGCGGTTCTTATTTTTTTTGCACATTGTGTTCGTTATCTTGATATTATTTACCATGTATGATGTACAATTCAAGTGCTATTCTTTGATGTGTTTATTAGTGCTTTAATGTGTATTATGTACTGTGCATATAAATATTATTATTATTATTATTATTATTATTATTATTATTATTATTGAAAGTGTAAATTGTATTTGTTTTCTGTATTCAGTATATGTATGTATATTTGTGTAAGGAAACGTCATTAAGTTACTACGTAGTACTTTGTACTTACGTACATCAGTTCAAGTGGGCATATCACATATGCACAGAGAGGGAATTCAAATCCCAAAGTAGTAGAGGTAGTAGAAGTATTATCAGTAGTCGGAGAGAAGATTAGGGTTCGAAAATATTATTTAAGAAGTACAATCAAGTGAAATAAATTTAAAAAGATAGAGGTGATAGTACCCATTTCCTAACAACTGGCATCGCTAACCCACGATATACGAGCAGTGCTTCGGAGTCACCTATGATCGAAAACCAGTAACCTACGAATATCTTCTACTCTGACTGGTCATGTTTCACAGCCATAAAGTAAGACGGAGCGAACCACTGCTTAGTACACTCGTCCTTTGCTCAGAAAACAGATATTTCGCCTACGACATAAGTGACGCAAGTTGGAAAAAGCCAATTGAGGTTTCTTTATCCGTTCTGAGATTTCGTCATACACCAGGCCATTGGCACTGATGAGATTCCAAAGATAAGTGAAGTGGTCGACATGCTCAACTACTTCACTCCCTACCACTAGTTCAGGTGCCGATACAAGCCAATCCTGAAGCAACATTTTGCATTTCGACGGGGAGAATCGCATCCCGAACATGCTTGCATTGTTGCTTAGGGTAGTCAGAAGACTCTGCATTTTGTCAGCGTCTTCAGCAAGTAGGACTATGCCATCGGCATATTCTAAGTCATTAAGCGAGCCACCTGATAGAAGGTCGACTCCTGAAAATTCAGACGAGGATAAGGTTATATCTAGCATCATGTCTATGACAGATACATAAACGTAAACCTTGTTGTGTCTCTTCGGCACTAGGTGAAATCGAATTGATAATTTTACTCGGGTCTTGTATGCACGTTTCCGAGACGCAACACACGTCCACGTTACGGGATTCCAGAGTCCTAGCTAAGGAGGCCCTATTCAGCATAAGGTTCGAACATTAAAAGCCCCACTATGTAGTTTAGAGCAGGGTTTCAGGAGACCAGGAACAACGTTTCGTGAGCTCGAAACATTTGCGTCAGCGGCGCGCGGTGACAAGCTATCGAAAGAAGGGTTGGTCGTGGAGATAACAGAGTCATTAGCTGGTGTTGAAAAAGTTTGATTGTGACTGATTTGGTCTCGTACTTTTATGGGTATGAGGGCGGTTGTCACCTTCCGGCTGCCCGTACCGTGGAAGGGCTCTGGTTGTCAGAAGGGGCATCGTTCTCTTGACTTCTTTCAAGGAACTCGGCTTCCATCATTAGAATTCATAACTCTTTTAAATGAAGACCTTCTGACTCCCAGAGCAGAGTTTAAATGGTATGAATAACTTGTTTTGTTAGCTTTTTTAGGGAGTCAGTTTTCTACGGGATTGGATCTCCAAGCCCAGCCCTCCTTCTTTATCCGGTCTTGGCAAGGGCAGTAGCCCTAGAGGGACTCTAGGTGAAGTTGCCTAAAGAAACGTGAAAAAAGATACGACGAAGTAACTAAGAAAAAAAAGTTGATGATATTGAGTGGATTATTTCAATGTGAAAGCGAGTGAATGACATCAGAATACTTATCTAATCATAATTTACAATAGATCAAGCTTATTCTCTTTAGAATACTCTTCATTCATGAGAATATATTTGTATCATCCATCTCTGCTCTCATTTCATCAAGGATCCTTAGACATCTTGAAAATGTCCTACGTACGGTGCTATGTTTAGTTATCGTTTATAGCCATTCCAAGAAAATGTAGGACGCGAACGAACTGTTTTTATTTAGTTGATACAGGGTTTTGCCTGTTTTTTTTATTTCCCATTAAATCATATCAATTTTTGAGTGGTTTATAGCAAATTTCCTTAACTTCAGATATTTAACTCAAATCATATGCACTGGCGATTTCAATGACTACAGTCTATTGGTGACCACAATAAAATTTGTAATCGGAAAGCACAAATATGATATTTTGTTGGGCAAACAAGATTGACTTTTGTTCACAGTAACAATATAAGCCTAATTCACGCGTTTACTGAATGAAACCTGTATCCTTATCAATATGACAAAGCCGGATTTTATGAACACTTGGATGGCAAAACACAGTCATTTTAAGTTTTACAGCTTTCCCTGAATATTTGATTCGTAACCAAATGCATTTATCTGAAGATTCGAGTTAATGTCTTCTTTATTAAATGATGGGCAACGTAAACTGAATACTTTGAAGTGAAATGGTTCTATCTATAATTTATTGAGATGAATGCTTAAAATAATCAAAATTGTCTAAACTAGTCGCCAACAATAAAACAGAATTTCAAAGTGATATCTATTCAGAGTTATTTGTGATGAGATTTTGGCTGAGAGGATGCTGTAAAGAAACCAGTCAATCAACAGCATCGTAGAACTTCGTAAGTACGTACATCAGTTCATGTTGCCATACCACATTGGCATAGAGATGCGACTGTCAATTGAAATCGCATAGTAGTAGACGTGGTAAAGGTATTAACAGTCATCGGAAATTTCAGGGTTCGACAATATTATTCAAGAAGTAGAATCTAGTGGAACAAACTGAAAAATAAAAGGTGATGAGGAATTCAGAAGTCTAGGTTTTGAGAGAACACAAAGAACGATTTCCCCTGCATCATTGCAAACAATTTTGAGCCATGTAATTCAAGGTCTCTAACCATTGGTGACTTTCGTCTCACGGACCCCAACCAGGTAGCCTACATCTACCAACATGGTTGAGTCCACTTGTCAGTGACTTCATGGATTTTCGCCATGTTTTGGTTTGGCCGCCCCTATATTTCTTCCAACCTATTCCTACATCGCAAAACATAGCTGGACGAGGCATTCGGTGTTTAGGCATACGCAGCACATGTCTGATCCACTTCAACTGATGAAGTTGCACTACTTCATCTATTGATCTGCCATCCTTACCTAGGACCTATTTTCTAACAACAACAGTAGGAGAATGGAAATAATAGAGAGGAAAACAAAGCGTCGAGAATATACTTCAAAAAGACGATGAAGAGTTTTGTATAAAGGAATATTTTAACTCAATATCTAGAGTAGGATAAAGAGGGGATAAACCGAAGGCATTTGCATTCGACCCTAAGCCTCGTCGTACGACATCCTCAATCATTGACTACTGATATCTCACTGAAGCCAATCAGAATAAGTTATAGCATGAAACGAGACAATCAGCTTATTACCTGTCTTCTTTTTCCTGATATAGGTATTTGGATTAGAAATCTAGGATAGTTTCATCTAGCCTTTTGTGATATGCTATGAATATTGTGCCTTCAATAGGAAGCTGTATTATACTGATTTCGTAAATATGTTCCACAATCATCACCCTTACTAGGTGTTTGAATTATTCTGTTCTTAATATTTAAGACTGAACTTTTTACCGACCTCCGCTGTTGCAATAACTCAAAACTTTACGAATCACAGTATGAACGTTATACCCGTTGAACAAGTCAGTGACCATCTAGATTCGATAGCTCAATGGAACATCAGGACGAAACGAACCGTCCAGTGATTCCAGGTTTCTAATGGTGGTCTAACAATAATAGATTCATCATTTCAAAATGCAATAAACATGAAAATCGACACAGGATAATAATAATAATAATAATAATAACTGATTACGATTTAAAAATACAAAACAAGACCAAGAAGATACTGGAGAAGGATATTAGAGTAAAAGAGGAATGAGAAGTTGTTAGGATATTCATCCAATATCCTAAGCGAATTATTGGTCAATTCCTATTGGTTCATTCCTACTGGTCAATTTTATGGTCGTCCTAGATATCAATGTCACATGCTCCAATGTTGTTTCTGTTGGTTGTCCTGACTATCAATGTCACTTCAAATGTTGCTTCCTATTGGTCGTCTTAACTGCTGTTTCCTATTCGACCAGAATGTATAAATACGCATGATCTGTAACGTTTTATGACCACAAACAGGACCAGGACCCGGTCGTGGATCCCTAGTCCGGGATCCTGTTTCTCTTCTGGATTCGGACCTCGTGCTACTTCATATCAAGTCTTCTTATTTTTTTCTCATTATGAGGATAATCGGATTTAAGTAGCATGTCATGTCGCCTGGTCCTTGCTCTCGTTTCCCGATTAGGTAAACTCGTAATAGTTCAGGTATATCAAGATGACGTGTTTACGTGCAAGTGTAACAGAAGTATAGTCATATTAACTACTATGGTAAATATTTCGGTAGGTGATTGGAAGCTTCGAAATTCACTGTATTCATTTTACCCTATAATTCTTGTTATTTATATATATATCTATACTTTGCTTAAGTTTGTGTCATTTGTGAATTATAGAAAGTGTAGTATCCAAACTAAGGTTTGGATTGAGGAATAACAACTGTCTAGGTAGTTTAGATACACACCTTGCCCAGTTTAAAACCAAACAAGTGATTTGGGTAAATGACGGTTCTAATATTCAT